AAGACTTACGACGAACACCCAGGGACCTGATGAAAAATTCGTTCAACGAGATTCATGGCTTTTTGAGAATATAGGACTGAAATTTTCAATGGAAAACGGGCAATAATTCATATGAAGTATATTTGTGTAACGGTTTTGTGAAGAATTGCCCTCATTTTCAACTTATTTTGGTGAAATAATTCAGAATATAAAATACAATGCTATTGTTGCAGACCTTCCCTATTATGAAATTCCTCGAAATATACTGATCTCACTGAAGTTCGAGCTGAAATGACATCAAACCCTATATCTTGCAGGTGTGTGGAAGCTGACGGACGGACGGTGAAGCTGTTGTTTTGCCGCTTGGGATCAGTAGACGGCCCCTGGGCTTACAATGCAGATTCAAAGACCATGATGCACACACCCACGAAGAAGTGCCTGGCAGTCCACCCGCATACCGGTGACCTTCACCTCGCCGTCTGCGCGCCCATAAATGAATACCAGAAGTGGGCCTTCAGGGAAATCGTCCCTAAATGGGCATAATCTCGTGTCTGCTGCGTCGTCGTGTTCACAAATCCGAAGTCTTCATCCGCACTTCTCAGATCAACGTTTTGATGTCTTTCTCGCATAAATTATTCTGCCAGACAGCAAGGAAGGTTTATCCAAAGTTCACATGTTCAAGTGGTTTTGCTTACGAGCGGGAAACAGATGAGATTCGATTGCACGACTGGTGTAACCGTGTGATTCAAGAAACTCTTTTATTTGCGTGATCATCTGATTTCAACTGAATTGTTCACTTCGCCCTTTGGCTTTTAGCTGCTTACGAATATAATTTTGTGTGGTGTTTGGTTGTTCGACGGGTGGGTCCTAATCATCTCATCCGTGGAAAAATGTACTTTCCTTGGAGAATTCGAAGCAATCCGTTCGAAAATTATAAATGTTTCCAAGCTTAGCGCACTGAACAAGCCGGTTCTGTCCTATTAATCGCTCTCATGTTGCATGAAGTGTAGGAATTGATTACGGAAACCTTTAAAAGTATTTTAAAACTAGAATACAGTGATTGAATGAAAATAGGAGTCGATGGAGGAATAATTGGGCGTCAGTAAAGAAATCGTAACGTGAAACCGGAGTTTTTGTTTTCAGCTTCTATAAGATAGCACATCCGAGCGGCGAAGTGTCTGTGATACCAAAAATATGGAATTGAGGGATTAATCCGCAAATTGTCACTTGTGGCTCAAATACTGCCGACAAGAACAAAAAAGGAGCCGATATAATAGGTTCTTCATTCATGCAAGCGATCTTTCGTCGCATTTCGTGTGGTTCGCGTGAAGGTTTTCGTGTGTCATTCCGTGACGAGTTCAAATATGTATTTTCTTCCACATCGGACATCTTAAACTGTGATTGATCGTGTGACGAATTGTTGCAGTAAACTACGGTTGTTGAAATGTTGTTTTCCTTTCATGGAAGGGTGACATTAGAACAGTTAAGCTGTTCATAACCCACTCACTTATTCCTTCGCAGATGATCCTGAAAACTGTAAACCTCGTGGCCAGAAATTGCTTAGGTTCTGGGTTCACTCACCTGCGTTACCTGAGGTTATTTGGCTCGAAGATGAGATCGTTTATGCGAGTGGGAAATAATATATGTTTATTCAAAGGACCACTTGTGCCGTGTCATCATTCAAGATTTACACAGGATTAGGAGATAAAGGACGAAGTTCGACGTACACAGGTCAACGTTTGCCGAAGAACCATGACATTTTCCAGGCGCTCGGTTCGATTGACGAACTCTCCTCCTGGTTGGGGTGAGTTATCCATATTTATTCGAGTACTACTTGCCCTCAATTAAGGCGCGCATCTCTATGTTTTGGTGTAGAATTAGCCCAAAGGTGTAGAATTGTTTTTAACGATTTCGACCGTTTCTTGGAGATCGTAACTGCTGTAATTCGTTTACGTGACTTGAATTTATTTTCAGAATTGCGCGAGAGATGGCGAAAGAAAAGAATCACTCTTATGGGGACCAGTTGCAGAGGGTGCAGTGTGTGCTGCAAGACGTCATGAGTGTCGTGGCAACGCCGAAAACGACGTCCAAAGAGCGCCACGAGCCAATTCACCAACTGATGTCAACCGAACTAGTCACGGAACTGGAGCAATGGATCGACACGATGACCGCTGAATTGCCACCTTTGCGAAATTTCATCTTGCCGGTCTGTCGTTGGGAATATCTCGCATGATGATGATGTGTTCATTTTTTGTCATTGCTCGTATTTCCAGGGTGGTGATCCGTTGTCGTCGCATTTGCACGTTGCCAGAACGGTGTGCCGGCGCGCGGAACGAAACGTCGTTTCACTTCTGGCCACACAAGAGCTCGATCCTGTTTGTATGAAATACCTCAACAGGTTCGTTTGTACGCATTGAAGATGATTCCATGACATGAAGATTTCCAAATTTTCATTTCTATTTTGCATTAAAGAAAGAGGAATTGACTGATGCATTTCCACAGGCTGAGCGATTTCTTGTTCACCCTGGCGAGATACTCATTGTTCCTGGAAGGAAAAACAGAAGTCGTGTACACCAAGCCGTGAAAAAGGTCCCATCGGCATTAGCACTCGAAAATACACAATTCGTCGTTTGTTTTGTAAGTTGTTACTTGCGGTGGATTGATCGGTGCTGCGATTTATTCCAGGATGCCCTCAAAATAATGTAATAAGGTATCAATGATGGCGGATCTTGAGAGAACGAAGTGTATTCATGCGCATCCTGTCGCAAGATGCTGCATAGAAATAACTAAAAAATACACATGTAATCAAATAAACGATCAGCGTACGTTTGGAATAGTTCGCGGTTGTTACCGACAGTCGAGAGCTGCACTTTTTCGTGAGTTCGGGTGATCGACAGAAATTTTCGGAAGGATTGGAGAGGCTTTGATTTTCGAACAGCGCTGCGATGAGGGAATAGATTTGCACACTTCTAATGCATCGTCGATGAGCCCAGTTGGCCGATGCCTTTTTTTGAAAGCTACTAAATCTCTGGTAATATTATTTCATTAATGTAAAAATCACTTTTGGACGGGTTCACGAGAAAATTCCGAAGCAAAAATGAATGCCATAGATGGCATAGAACTAAGAATGTCGGAAAGTTGGATCTAGGGTGGAACTAGAGTTCAATTTGATAATTTTTAGAAAACCTTCGTTTCTTCTCGTTTCATTTCTACTGTTCAGTTACGGGACAACTCGAATAGCGACATCTGTCTTTTTTTTTTTTACTTTTATATCGTTTTTGTGTTTAGGCCAAAATAGCAATGGAGAGATGTTCCATTGCATTTTAGGCACATTGTTTCTTGTCTGGAGGGAGTTTGGATGAGTACTGTATGTTTATACCTTGGAGCAGTGTTCCCAACTCGTGGTCCGCGGACCGGCGCTAGTCCGCAGAACTTTTTTGCCGGTCCGCGGGAAGTTTTTCCAGGCTGATGAATTTTTCACAAGTACCAATGAAGGACTTCACAGTATCCTTATATTCAATATATTTATCTTTATATTGTATATTTAAACTTGTATTTCATTACATGTACCATGCTTGCGAATTTTTGCTGCCGCGTGTATTTTTAATTTTGTTTTTGCGAAAATTGTCCTTGTCTCCTTCGTGGAATATGCTCTCTGTCGCATTTTCTGTATTGTGGCTTGCGGAATTTTTCCTGATACTGTATGGATACGCGATCTGTTCAGCATTATTAACGGTACCTCACTATTTTACAGATCAATTACTGGAGGGAAATTCACTTTCAAAAATGCATGAAAAACGACGTCTACCGAATGATGCAGACATGTCTGTTGGGACCGACG